GTTTTTTTTTTTTTGGGGGGGGGGGGGGGGGGGGGGTTTGTTTTTTTTTTTTTGTTTTGGTTTTTTGGGTTTGGGGGGGGGTTTTTTTGAGGGGGGGGGGGTGGTTTGGGGGGGGGGGGGGGGGAGGGGCGGGCGTTTCACACAAGCGACTCATAAAGTGCCACACTACAACCCCCTCACAACCGTGACCGTTCTATGCATACGCAAAAGCCTAAAATCAGTACAGGCACACCAAGCCACTGCACGGAACAAAGCACCCCGCGTGCGCGGCATCAGACAAAGACAGAAAAATTCCTTAGCCCTTCCTTTCCACACTTCATAAACGGCAGCACAACCCTTGGAACTCCGCGTTCATCACCGCCGTTGTGACACACGTGCCATCGTTCACAGCATAGAAAAAGAAAACGTATAGCCTTAGCCTTTGTCTAGTCTTCGTCTCACCGCCCGACGAGCGAGTTCCCTCTTGCGCCGTCCCATGGTACCGGTACGGCGCGCCGCCCGCTCCTGCGGGGCCACCCGACCCCGCCCCCCCACCCAGGGGATTGTACCCCTGCCCAGTCCCGCCGGTAGCGATGTCGAAGCTCCCCTCCTGCCCGCCGACCTCGTTGATCACCTCCGCCAACATGCCGAACTCGTTCATGCTGAGTTTGGCAGACCGCGGGCCTTCGGCGCCAGAAATGTAGGTAGCGTGGGAGAGCAACACGGAATGGGGAAGAGAGCCCGGCTGAGATTGCCACTGGGAATATGACGACGTGCAGCGGTACGTCTGCAAAAATGCCGCGAAAAAACATAATCTTGGCCAGTTTGAGACCGAAAATCGGTGTCGACGTGTGGCTTGCAGCCGCGTTCGCGGAACGTACTTCAAGCATGAAGAATGGAAGGAAGTCGCAATATTGCTACTCCGACATGCGGCGTGATACACTCTAACCAGTTCTGAACTGAAACCCTAGAACGCAACTACGGGTGCTACGGTGCTACAGTATTGCTGCGGTACGGTAACACTTCGCAGCCACGTTCCCCTACTCCTACAGCGGTGCCGAACAGTTAGCCCACGTAAGCAACATACAACATACCTTCAGCGCCACCCATTCTCTCGCGGTTCGCGGCCAGCTGCCTCGCGTTGGCCACCGCATCCGTGACCTGACGCGGCACGCACAGGATCAAACAGCACCACCGCAGCGGAAACACGACACGAGTGAAGGATAGGGAAGACAGGACAAGACAAGACACGAATACGTGCAAGCAACGACCATGTGATCGCATGGCCACGGGACAACTCTCGTTGCGACATCTACACTCTTGAAAGGACACAGCAGTCTCAGCGGGTGGATACTACTATGAGGTATACAACCGAAAAGCCCAACACCAGCGGGCTGGCTGTGTAGACAGATCACCCCTAGTTCGTCTCGCCATGAGCTTGCTGGCAGACACCCGGCACACGCTGTATTGAAGTATCGTCTACTGCCACAACTTGGACACCTCGTCAACAATCGGGGGGCACCAAGGGGCTGTAAAAAGGCACACCCTAAGCCTAAGCTTGCTTTTGTGCCGCACGGCAACACACCCTCATGAAAAAAACACACTTGAGCGACGACAAACTTGATTGCTGGGCTGCTTGTGGAAGCCAGTCCACCGCCACATGGGGCCGGCGGGGCTTGTACCCCGCTGGTGCCCTTGGACAAAAAATAACCTCACCACAGCAGTATTGTAACGGTCGACGACTTCTCCTTCTCTTTACGTTGTAACGCCTCTCACCTCTTTACCCAAACCCGAGAATTGCACCGCCCGACCCACCGCCTCCAGAGAAGTGGACATTGACCTTTCGGACAGCGCGCACGGGCGAGATATATGCGACCGACAACGCGGAGGAACGAAAACACGAAAAAACAAAAATCGTCATCGAAACGCCCAAAAAAACAACTAGACATCGTTGCCGCTTGGCGTGGACGTTGGCGTCAACGAGGAGTCGCGCCGAAAATGACATCAAACTGCTAAGCCACGATTTTCGGCTCGAGCGATGCCGCGATAATCGAAATGCTGACACAGTTTCCATGTCTTGCGTGTGAACACATGAGAGTAAACACAGATTTATGTAGGCATATCCGGTGCCTTCGGCTAGCAAGAGGCCATGAACATTTACAAATTCTGAGGTGGGTGAGGCTTCACCAAAGTCGTACAGGCGGTACCAGGGCGACCAACACTTGGCATCACTCTTCCGCAAACGATCAACACCACACCAACACCCCTCTCCAGATCGAAACCTCTCATCTGTATCAAGTGAAATAAGCAACGCGAACGAATGTCATTCTGAATAACCTTACGCATCAACCTTCCTCCCGTGAAGGAAGTACAGGCGCACGGCCACGTATGAACACCATCTACAGCTACGGCGTTGTTGCGAACGGAACTAACGTCGCACGCTTGAAACCATCGGTACCAAGCCGTCCCTGCCCACCCCGTACATACAATCTTCAACAATACCAAGAATGTGTATGCTCCGTGCTTTACCTCGTGTGCCTGTGATTCGCCGGAATCCCCGTGGGGTCCATCAAGACATCCACCACCACGGGCACCACACCAGACCGCGTGGCTCTCCTCCTGGTTCAGGCGCGTTCGCAGACGAGGGCAAAGGAGGGAACAAGAAAAAACGTGGAGACCCTGACCACTGAGAGGAATGCCTCACAAAAATGGGGAAGGTTGGTGCTGTACTAGCGCGCGGGGGGGAGGGGTGATTACGTGACTGCAACTTGTACAACCCGATGCAGAATCACACAAGTCCCGCGCCCCCGTGATAGCCCAACAGTACATACAACAATACCCCCCGCCCGTCGAACTATACCCATCTCGTTTCTCTATTGCAGCTTATGATCTACACCATAAAAGCCGGTACCGCGCGCGCCTACAACAAGCCGGGGTTCGGTCTCCTCTTCCGCTCTCCCGCTCGTTCGTTCTCACCTCTGGGGAGTCTCATCCACCTCGGGCACGCTCCAGTTTCCGACCCTGGTCTCGCCCTTGTCCTCCCGCACCACGGACATCGCGGCCGACCCGGACACCGCCGCCTTCCCATTCCCATCGCCGGACGGAGAGGAGTGCCGCGCTCGAGACGTCCATGGATTGCGCAGTCGGGACATGCGAGAAGGTCTGCGTGTGGGCAGGCAGGCGGGGTACCGGATGGGACAGGATCAGCGTCGGGGGGGGGGGGGGGGGGCTACTCATGTTTTGCATGCCTTAGCGGTTACACCATTGACCGCACGTTCTCTCGATAGGGCGGAGCATTGTTCTCGCAGGACCGACCACAGATGGCCAATCGTTCCTTCCAACTTTGCCAAAGGTGGCTCCAAAATGTCTTTCGCTCATATATTTATCCTATCGATATTACTTCCCCCTTTTCAATTCATTTCCTATGCCCCAGTACAGCTACCGTCTTCTCCTGGCTACTCGATGCCTCAAACATCCGCTGTGTCTTCCTTCTACTTTTCGCAGCTCAGCCACATACACTTCCCTCCTTGTGCAACGGACATTCCGCAATTACATGAAAATCCGGTCTTCGCACTCGGAGCCGTTTTCACATTTGAACATGACCATGCGTGTGGGGGGGGGGGGGGGTAAACAGGTAGGCGTTCACCGTTCCAGCAGGTAGTCATTCTTACAGCTGGAGACGGCTTGGCGCGCGCACGTAAACTGCACGGTTCATGTAAAGACGTGTTTTGTGCGCCAACGACAGTCAACGAGTAACCGTCGCGGGGATGGGATGGGATGGGATGGGAAGGCATGTTTTGCAATCCCCCCCCAAACCAAACACAGAAATGACGCTTTCGTGCAGCGCTCACCAACGCGTGGTGCACACAACTGATGCGCTTCGAACGAAGTCGTACGGTATGGTGGTGAGAATCTACTCTCCATCCACCATGTTCTTCGTAGACAAACACTATACTTGGCATCTTCCTCTTGTCCTCTTCATGGCACACGACAAGACAGCAAAGACAACAGAAAGCCATAATAGGCAAAGCTAGGCTAAAACACCATCCCCGCTAATTCTTGTGTTTTTTCAGCTGAAAAACCATCAACGTTTCTTGTTTACAGTATTCATCTACACCAGAGAACAGCACTGTGCAACAAAAAACGGGTATGCTGTGTGCTGCGTATCTCTCCCTCACCTGCCGACGCTCTTGGGGACGACCTCCTGCTGTGGCCTGGGTCGTTCCGGGCTGCCAGAGTCGCTGTGACATGTGGCCTGCACATGGCACGACGACATCAAAAAAATAGTTGGCGTGCACGCGCGGGGGTTAGGGGGGTCGTTCGAGAGCTACTGTAAAAACTTCACACGGAAACGCGGCCGGTATCTAGATTTTTTTTCCGTCGGTATCATGACATAACTGAGAGCTAAAATTATACACGGAAACGCGGCCGACATCTAATTCTTTTTTCCATTGGTAATGATATAAGCACAAACGTAAGGCAGGTGTCGGATGTTTCACTGTACACTCCGCGGAACGGTATACTGTCTAGTCCACCCTCCCTCGCTGCTATCGCCCTTCGGCTCGGCTAACCCCGCCTCCCTTCAAACATGCATCCACACACTGGAAAACGCTATGAAAAGCACCAGAGCAACACAGCAGTTGCAATAGATTACGTGTGTCAGGGTTAAACGGTCCTTCTGTCTGAACGGAACCAGCGAACCACAACATGTACAGGGAAGGGCAAAAAACAAATGTTCAAGGCTATCAACTCTCCGGGAAACGCACATGACCCGCGGGGGTGGCCACCGTAGCCGACCGTGCACGGTTCTCTCCCGGGGGGTCCTCCTCTCGCGGAGGAGGGCTGCAGAAAGAACAAAAAAAAGCAAGAAAGAAAGAACGAAAATAACAAAGAAAGAAGAATGAAAAAAGAAGGAACGACAGGGAAACAGAAGAACAAAGAACAAGAACGAAAGAAGGATCAAAAGGAAGGAACCACAGCAACAGGTAGGGTGGGATTAGGTCGGGGTGTGTGTGGCCAGTGGTATCCTTACAGGAATCACTTCGAAAACACAAGAAACACGCACGCACTCCACACAGAAGCTGTCAGTTTGTAACGAAACCATGCGCCAAGAAAGGACTGGCGAGAAATGGTTTTGTCAGTGACCGTCAGGCTACAATAGCGGAAGTGTCTCGTCAGCTATGAAATACTCGCTTGATCTTGTTGGCGAATGATGCAGTGCCTTCACCGCAACACAAACCAGAATAGACATCCCACACCATTGCACGACAAGCGCACAACAAACCGCCGCACCTGCTGACGCCTCACGCGAGGGTACGAGTCCCCGCTCACTCCCCATGCCGGCACCACAAACCCAACACCCAAAAACACTTCCAGCACATTGCTCTAAAATGGTATAGAGCACACTCCTGCCGTTCTACCGAAACTACAGCCTGCCCTGACCCGGCGTTTAGCGCAATCGACACAGATACCAGCCAGTACAGCAGTACAGCAGTAAACACAGACCGTGCGACACGCCACACCGCGGACGCCAAGGCAGCTAAACTAACTCACCTCCTGCTGGTGCCCCCCATCGTCCGGCTGAGGGTGGCGCGGTGGATGCTTCGACTGCTTCGCCTACCCCTGGCTCCTGCTGGATACGGGGATCTGCTGAGATCGTCCTCGGACACAGGCCCCACGCCTGCACACGAGTACGGTAGGTGCGTACAGACGGAGGTAGGGTTGTAAATAAACGTCCACACAGCAGCCGAGTCACTCCGTTACATACGCTGTACAGCCCAAGCAGCGAAGTGTGATGCGGTTAAAACAGCTCGTAGCCGAATCCGTGGGGCCGCCGTCCAGCGGCTGGAAACGAGGGAGAGCTGCCGCATCATCGATCGACGAAACTGCGTGTCTGGTCCAGACAGCAACCCGGCGAGGACAAGACAGGAGAGGACAAGACACGAGAGGAAAGGAGACAAGACCACACAAGACAAGCATGACAGCCGCGTTGACCTATCTAGGTCTCGAACCTAGCCAGTACATCGAATGCATGCCCCGGCGTGTGCCGTCCGTCATGCTTCGCAGCCCGCATGAAAAACGAAAAAAAAAAAAAACTCACCGACGTTCACGTCCGGAACTTCTCCCCGGCGAGAGGGGTGTCTGCCGCCATCTGCCGCCCCCTTTGCGCGGCCCTGCGTCCCGGACTCTTCCTTCTTGTCCGACAGCACCTTTGTTCGTACGACATATGGCGGTTCAAAGTACAGCATGGGCAAAAACGAGCGCTGTCAGAACAATGGCAAACTACCCGCGGATCTCTGTACCAAAATGCGTTTATGATGAATGATGCTACAAAAAAAAAAAATCGCGGTTGTGGATATTCGGTCCTCCAAGGATAGTCCGCCAAGCCTCGTATCATTCCGGGCAGCACGTTGGTGCTGGTGTGGAGTCAAAATCAAATGGTGGCATGGATCGAAATTGACCCTTGACACTTTGACATGTAAACTCCACAAACCGGACTAATGCTTGAAACAGTACACACGGAGGGAAAGGAAGGGCCTCATCATACCGTACTAGTCCCACATATTGTGTGACCTGACGCAGTAAGTCAGCGCAACACGCGGCATAGACCGTAATACAACCGGAGGAGTAAGCGGTGCACAGAGCATGGAAAACACGCGGTCGAGGAGAGCAAACGAAACAGAACGTCAACACAAAAAGAAAAAGCCGTTACATGGACAGCCGGCAACGTCTGGTGTAGTGCGGCCTAGCCCCATATATAGACGAACAAGGACCAGAAAAGACGGACACGCACACGCGCACCTTTCCGTACTCCTGTATGAGCCATTTGCCCTTCTCCTCCCGTGAGATGTCCGTCCACCTGCTCGCCACGTCGAAGCCAGAACCTTCCGACCGCTTGCGCTCGTGGCGTGGGCGGGCCTGCGATACGGGGCGAAAGGGAAAGACAGACAAGACAACAAGTCAACAAACCGTGAGTCGGGGGGTGGGGGGGGGGGAGGATTCGTCGCCAATCGGGAAGAAATTTCGAGAAAACATACTTCCAACGTTCTTGTGTTTTTCATCCGTGGCGGAGAGTGGAAGACTGTGCATGAATATTGTGCCTCGCAGTGACCTCTTGGCTCGAGTACGCACGAGTCGTTCCGTTCAAGACAGCAAGCACGGGTGAAATAGCATCTCGAGTCGCACCTGCCCCGCCCCGCCGCCGTCCCTGCGATTGCCGCCGCCGCCGCCGGTCCACGTATCCGCGCCGGGACCCTCGGAGCGTAGGTGGTCGCTGATCGTGCTCCCCTCCAGAGAAGACGATCTCGCGAGCGACATCACCGAGCTGTGCGATTGGGGAACCATGGGCTTGGCCAGGGGAGCCATGAGAGACATCTCGCTGCAGTCATTGAGCGTGGCAAAACACGGAACAGTTGCAAGGCGAGCACGGAGGGTGGGGTGTGTGGGGAGAGGGAAGACAAGATATGCTCAGTTCTTTCGTGCCCCGGCTGCACTCTCCTCTTAAGCGTGTTGACCGTGCCCCGAGACACAGCCGCTAAAGTACATGCCGCTATGTCGACATCGACATCGACATGGCATGGTTCCCGCACCAAATCCCCTCCACCACAGTCATCACACCTACCACTCCATATCTCATCAAAACGCCCAACTACAGAAGCGACGGCCCCGAGACCACAAAACCAACGCAAAAACCGCAACCCCATACATATCCTCCACGCGCGCGCCCACTCACGAGAATCCTGTGAAGTCTACAACCCGGCCCTCGCGCCCAGCCGCCATCGCCGCCGCGGTGGCCGCCGACACCCTCCGCGGCCCCCCGACGGCGCTGCCGGCGGCGGAGTCCCTCGAGAACTTCCTCCGGTGCATCCGGTCGTCCGCCGCCCCTCCCGCCAGCTCCGAGGCCGCGAGCAGAGCCGGGTCGTGGTGGTGTGCCCCCCCCGCCCCCGCTGACGGGGTCACCAGGACCATGTCTCTCGTCTGAGAAGCGCCGTTCTCATCGGCGCCCGCGCCGCCGCCCCCTACACCCCCCCCGGGGAGGCCCCGCCCACCGCCGGCGGCTGCAGCAGCAGACCCCGCCCTGGCCCCCGATGATTTTCCGCCGCCGTTGTTGGCGGTAGCGGCGGCGGCGGCGGCTGCTGCAGCGGTGGCATCGAGCCCTGCGCTCCCCTCTAGGATGTTGAGCTTGAAGGAAGGTCTCCTCGTGGTGGAGGGAATCCCTGCCACGGACACCTGCGGCGTCAGCGACTCGGTGTCGGTGACGGTGGTCGGGCTCGGGGGGCTCTTGACGTACGCCGTCCTCTCGGCGGGAGGGGAGTTGGAGCGGGACGCACGCTTCGCGATGGCCTGCGTTCAAGCGGGGGATTTTCGTGTTTGTTAACGTAAGCCACCAAGAGTAAGAGAAAACGACAAAAAAAAACCCGACAACACCGCTTGCACGATCGATATATATATATATCCCTCTGCGTGCAATCAACAACAAAGCATTCGCGCTTGAACGTAGGCCAAAGAGTTGACAGCAGACTGCAAATTACTACCAACACATACCGTTCCCATATTTTTCGTTCCCCGCAACCGTCAACGCTACAAGAACCTGTGAAATTGAAAATAGTGAAACCTCCCTGTGCAACCCGGCTGGAAGACGCCAAACATACCACAGAAAGGCGTAGACCGGCGCCCACAACACATCCAACAAAAAAGCGGTACACAAAAAAATAAGGACCAAGCTTACCTGCCCGATGGAGCTCAATGCGTTTCGCCCCGTGGCCCTCGCGTGCCGCCGCCCCCCTCCCCTTCGATGGTGCCTCTTGTGGGTTGCCTGTTGCCCGTGGTTGAACGAACGGTGGCGGACAAAAGCCGTAGCGGAACAACAGCGAGAAAGGCGCTCACTCAACGGGCCATAACCTTCAAAGTCACTCTTTTTTTTTTTTTTACTGATCTACAATCCTTTACAATTAGTAGGCAAGCCCAGTAACCAGTACCTCGTAGTCTTCTCTGCACCACAAGGTAGCCTAGAGCCTTTTGAGAATCACACCAAACTCTCCAGCACTGCCATTAACATCATTCTTGAGCCCGACGAACCAGTCACCTCCGCCGACGTACGGAGCATGCACACATGACACGACACGTACCTTATCCTCCGAAGGATAGAGCTTGACCCATCCGTCAAGCAACGCCCAGCCGGCCAGCAGATGCGTGCTGTTGGGCAAAGCCGCCGCCACGAGAGGGTTGCTCAACGACGAGGCGTGCGCCGGCGGGGGCCCGGACAAGACAAACGCCAGACGGGTAGCCCTCTGAAGGAGTCCATGGATCTGCTCGACCATCGACGGTGTGCATTTGGGAGGGGCGTATACATACGTAGAGGCGAGGTGCGGATAAAACTGAGGACAAAACATAGTTCTGTTGTGGCCTGAAAGAGGGGTTGTGTCGCCGACACAAGCGTACCTCGCGACGATACTCGAGAAGCAAGAGCCGCCAAGCACCGAGCGCACCGCTGGTACAAACCAGATACGCAACACCGGGATGACGCTAGTAGCTCCACAATCGGTGGCGCGTGCGATCAGGCAGGTCGAAACATCGCAAGGCCGTGGTACCAAAACAAGCGGCGAGCCAGCCTCCCGCAGCCCAAAACAGACAAGCACAACAATCACGAGTGCCTGTGCAACACTCTGACCGAAGGCGCTCCACCTTCCGCGAAATCTCTTCACCAGTACTTGTCGCCATTGCAGCAATGCAATCGATGACAGCAAGACACGGTGAACAAGCTCTACCCGCCAAGGTGAGATGGACCCCCCCCCCCTCCCCCAGACCTTTCGCAAGCTACAAAAAAAGTCGCGCGAAAAACAGGCGCACGCCGATCGACACGATATTTCTTCATCATGCAGCAGTACCTTGAGCATCATAGAAGGCGGGAATGAGATCGTCGGGAAGGCGGGGGCTCGAAGAGGTGTCCCCGCGGGCCGGTGAGTCCTCCTGCTGCCGGATGACAACGTCTCCCCGGCCATCGCCGAAGGGTCCCTCTGGCCTCCCCGCTGAGCACTAGGCCCGCCTGCCGAAAAAAAAACGAGCGACGCACGAAAGGTTACCCATGACATTCCGTCGACATCATCATCCTGTCGCCTTGCACCCGAAAACCAAATCTTATTTTGTTGTTGTGCGGCCGACAGAAGAGAAAACGAATGTCGACATGGCTTTCAGAATCCCCGCTCAAGCAAGGGCCGGAGAGCAGGCGGGAGGATACGAGTCCTCCTTCGCGACAACCACAGGGCCCCACCCTCTGGGTGCCGCGTAGGGGCACGCAAGATACCCCCCCTCCCCCCCCTATTCCCCGTCACGCACCTGGGCGTGAATGGCCAGCCGAACCGTTGTTGGCGCCCATCGAGCCTTGAGCAGGCGTGACCTCTTGCCTTTGGAGGTGGATGAGGCTCAGCAGCCCCGCCGCCTCTTTCCACGCCTGGTAGCATTGGAGCACCCTGTCGTTGGTTTTCCGTGGGAAACGATTGGGGATACCGGGGAGGCGGGGGAGAGGCGTGATCGTGCCAGGTGAGGAAGAGAGGCCGCAAGGCGGCGACGATAAGGCACGGTTGCACTGGAAGCATGAAATTTCGATCTGTCCACTACGCCCGCCTAACATGGTCACACGCCATCCAGACCACGAGGAGGAGAGGAAAGGACAGAGAGACACGGGGTGGCACTTATTATGCATGACAGGAAAGAAAACTCACACAAACCAACCGCCATCTGTACCGTTTCATGAATTGTTCTAATAGTCAAACGTCGTTCCGGAAAAAAGACATAAGTATTGAAAAAAGCCATGATACACTGGCACATTCTTTGTTTCGGTCCACAACATAAAAACAACAATTGCTTGCCTGCCCATAAGCCAGTTGACTTCCGCGGCGTTAAGGAGGGCAAGCGCCAGCAGGAGCGGTTCCCCCGCATCTCCCGCGAGGCCCAAAGAGCTCGCCGCGCGCGACTCCAGCCCCTTCAGCACCGCCGCTCCCTGGTTCATCGCCGCCTCCTTCAGAGGTACCTGCAGTTTTTGTTGTGGACGTGGTTATTGTTGTTGTCTAGGACAAACGATGATGCAGATAAAGGGCATAGAAAGTTTGCCATGGATGCAGCTGAGGCGGATGACCCTACTGCAATGTACGCTGGCCTTCTTGATACGTGACAACCCCTACACTAACGTACTGAGCACAAACCATCGATTCGCGAAACGGAGGCGGCTATTTAGCGTCCCCGTGCAGCTCCGAGTATTGTCGTCAAAGATCTCGCGCGAAACGCATTCACGAATCGCAAAAAAGTGGGACACATTCAAGAACTGCTTCAAGAGGCGACCCGCCGCCGTCGACCAAGAGCTGTTCGCAAGAGGACCACATAAGCGCCACAAACGTAACTCACAGGTGACCCCAGGCCCCAAGAACCTTACCTGTCGGATGGCGACCTCTGCGAACACCCTGGAGAGCTGCATCTCGACCCCTCTGGCCTTGCACTTCGCCTGCCGGTTGGAGGGGGGGGGTTGCGGAGTGCACGGTTTCACGGGACAGGTGGCGTCATTGGCAACGGGCCAGAAGCAGTCCTGCAAGTAGCTTCCTTACTACGGTACAAGTTTAGATATCTCCCCCCCCCCAACTAAAACTTTTCACGTAGAAAGTACACACGGCTTAGAAATAAATCGCCAGCAGAAACGACCACAACCAGCAAGCAAAATAAACAACAGCAAGGCAGCGGTCCGACCATCCGTGCCTGACGCAACAGTCCAGGACCCAACCGGTCAACACTGTTCCATCTCATCTGTCGAGGTACTTTCCTCGACGTACGGAAGGAGCATACTTCGGTGGACACGACCATCACGAGGAGAGGAAAGCCGACAAGGGGAACAACCACGCCAGCCGCCGAAGGTTCTTCGGAAGAATCAGCCCTGACTTTTAAAGTCGTCAAGATCACACAAACCACGCCAAAGAACGGCGGCAGCTATTATTTTTCCCGCCGAGACCAAATAACGGTACAACAGTCGGGGGAGGGCAACGCAACATACCTGGTGGTACACGTCGTCGGCGCTGCAGAAGTAATCAAGCGCGAGGTTAAAGGCCTCTTCCGCTTTGCCGGCGTACTTGGAGGTCTCCGACGCTGTGGCAACGAACAACAAAGGAGCACGGGAGGTAGATAGGTAGATAGGGAGTGAGAGGGGGGGAGAGAGAGACGTACACGCGCACAGATTACGGCATGTCCGAGTCAAAGGCACGTCAAGTCAAGTCAGTCGTCACGACTTCAGCAAAAACGGGGGCTCCGTCGCTGCAAAAGGTCGACCGCGGCACGACGAGGGAGGGATGTGCCCGACACAAGAGCGCGAGTTGAGGGACGTTCACTTGGCGTCGGGTGACAAAAACGGTGCTATGCATACGCTATTTTGTTGATCCAAGCAACTCAGTCCAGGTTCAAGAGACATGCCACATGCCACATGCCACACGATGAAGAAAATTCTCGCCGAAAACTGTCAAAAGACACAACATCCCTGCACAAGGACGTACTCGAATCCTCCTGTCTTGGTGCGAGAAAAGCCCCACTGCCCCACTGACTGACTGGCCTACAAGCAATTCTTCGCGAAACAAAATAAAGGAACATTCTCCAACCAACGCTCGGCGTCCATTCTACCGCCGAGATACCCTTCTGCAACGTAGCCCCTCTTCCTCTCCATCGCTGCGAGGAGGGGGGTAACTCTAAAACCACACCATGTAGCGCCAAATGGTTTCGTGCCCAACCAACAGATATAAACTACGCCGCGATACCCCTCTGCAAAGCAATCTCTCTTCATCGCCGCCGGGAATTGGCTCTACACATGTAGCGTCAACAAAGCCTTCCGCCGAAGCACAAGTAATACTGCTGTAGTCATGCAGACTGACTGGCATCCTACCTGCAAACTTCTCCCTGTCAAGCTGCCCCGAGGCGGACACCGTAGAGGCCGAAGCAGTCTCCGCACAACCGGCGTCGTCCATCGCGTGCTCCTCCAGCGTCTGCGCCATGTGCAGCTGGTAGCACCGGCCTCGCAGGTACATGAGGCGGCCCTCGTTCCCCAGCTGACGGCTGTCGGTCGACACCGCCAGGGCGATGCCAATCCACTGGAGCGCCGATGTGGGGTCGCCCGCCGCGATGCTACACCTGAGGTTTCAGGAGAATAGAAGAAAACACAACATGTTTATCCGGCGAAAGAGCGGTGTGGCCGTCTCTTGAAATCCATGAAAGAGAGCGCCACGCAATTCAGTCGAGAAAGATCAACATCGCAGGGTAGTATCACAGTAGAGGCAAGAGAGAGCACGAAGGAATGGTGGAGGAACGGCACTTCACACAGCAGCATTACTCTCTCTCAAAACACCTCAATCTCGACCTCATTCCCGTGGCCACAATCTGCATTTTTTTTGCGGAAACACAAAAAAAGAAAAAAAACAGCTACACAGGGGCACGAGTGTCGCCCACTCCCATCACCACCAGCAACCACAAAACGCCTTCAGGGGCCTCACCTCGCTCGGAGCACCAAGAAGTCCACGTTCTTCACCATGGCGACCATCTCGTAGACGTACTTGTCGCCGCCGAGCCCAGCCAACCCCCCCTCCTCGCATC